ACAGACACAGGGTCAAGGTGAACCAAGATGGCAGGGCTTGGCATAGAGCCACTGCATGGGGAGGACCCCTGCCCAGAGCAGGGCTGGCCGCCTTCTAGCCCTGAGCTCCAGCCAGGGCGTGGGGTTGGAGCTGCTGAGGCTGGGCACCTGTCTGCCCCACCACTTCCTTCCTTTAACTCGCCTTCCCTAAGTGGCTTCAGGTCTTAGGTTCATCTGCTTGCAAGGCTTCTTTTACCAGCTTCTGTCTAATTTCCAACTATAATTTTTCCTTTTCCAGAGTTCCAAGGAGACATGCAGCAGACCTGGCAGCACACTGTGACTGTAGGGAAACTGAGGCAGAGAGCTAAGTTGCAGTGTCATTTGGGCTAGTGCAGAAGAGTGCTCTTCTGAGGAGGGTGAGGTCCGGAGCCCAGTGGGAGTGTGTGCATGTGTGTGGGAGTGTGTGCATGTGTACGCGTGTGTGCACACATGTATGTGTGTGTGTGTGTGTGCATGTGTGCACGTGTTTGTGTGTATGGAGGGAGGTGGGTGCTTGTGAGGCCTCACCTTTGCAGGGAGCAAGCAAGGCCTGCCCCAGCTCTTCATGGGGGCTCCTTTGAGGCTGACAAACTGAAGTATGTGGTTCCTAAAGACCCAGCTCCGACTTTCTCCCGAGGCAGGGTCCCGGATTGGAGATGGGTTGGATCTTCCCATCCCTTCCTCTCTGGATCCCAGCGACCAGCTCAATGCATTGATTTCTGCCCCTGGCTGGCACAGATAGACCCAACAGCTCCACCCCCTCTCTGGAGCCACAGAGAGAGCAAGAATTGGGTCTGGCACCTGCCTTATCCGGGTTGGCAGAGTCAGAGCTGTCCAGCCCAGCGGAAACCCCTCCCGGCTGCCCTGACTTTCACGCCTGGCTCCCCTCGTCCAGATCCACCATCCCTTCCCACTGGCTGCCTGCCTGCCCTTCCTGTGGGCTGCACCACATCCTGGCTCAACCCAGCAAGTCAGAGCCTCCGTGTAACAGGGCAGCTAGGCCCCCGAGCAACACACTTCAGTAGGAATGCTACTGATGTTTAGAGAACCCACTACTCAGGAAACTCATTAGGTAGGCACACTTCTTACGTCCAGCCTCCTTGAGGCCCCGCGCCAGTCTTTCTGGAAGGGTAGCCCACCTGCATCAGGGTCTCCGATAATCCACCAAGGAGCCAGAATTCCCAGGGGCAGGGCCTGGGCATCTGTATTTTCTAAGCATTCCAGATGGTGATTGTTATGTGCATCCCAAGCACATAATAATCATCATCTACCTACTAGAGTTAGATTGGTGACATTTCAAATATGAAGGGAGACAGGAGGCCCCAGGTTACCAAGAAGCCCCAGGAGAGTCACCTCTGATTCCCCACCTCTGAGTGGCCCCACCTTCCTCTATTTCTAACTTCCCTTATCCCTGACCCACCTCTAATGATGTAGAAACTGCTTTGCACGTAGAGGCATTCTCTGTCCTCATTTTCTTAGTCCGAGGGTTGCTGGAGTGTGTGTGTGTGTGTGTGTGAGTGTGCAGTGTGTATGCATGAGTGTGTGTGCATGCACACATGTATGTGAGGCATATGTGCATACGTATTTGGGATGTGTATGCATGTGTGGTGTAGGTGCATACATGTGTGTGGTGTGTGTGTGCTGTGTGCATGTATATGTGGGGGGTTGTCTTGGGGCAGAAGAGAAGCAGCAGAGCATTTGCCTTACATGGTCTTCATGGCGGAGGAGCTGGAGCAGTACATTTTATTCTGCCCTGTGGAACCGCTGCTTCACCCAGGGGAGAACACAGCACACGGGGAAGCAGATTGCAATGTAGTGGGAATGTCCTTCTTGTAATCCTTTCCCATCCCCGATGTTCGTATCCCTGAGGAGCATCGTCCCCAGACACCAGTTGGAAGAAAGTCATAGTGTGTACTTTTATCTGTGGCCTAAGCAGGTTCCAAGCTGGAGCCCAGTACTCAGGTGTAGAATCAACTGCTGCAGGCCCCACTCCATTCTTAAGGCCGCAGGAGGACATGGGTTCATTGGGCAGTAAAGCCACGCTACTTCCCATCAGGCCTTTGGCCGTGCGATTTGAGTTTTTGCTATGTCCCACTTTCTTTAATCCGGAACGTTCTATCTGGGTATTCTGGTGTTTGGACTTCTACTGAAAGCCAAAAGGAGGAGACAGTTCAGAAATGAGGGTGGAAATGTTCTCAAGAAGAAAAGAAAGAGGGAAGCTTACATGTAACCTCCCGGTCAGAGTGACAGGCAGGAATACTCAGCACTATACTCACAGGACGGAAGTTGAGAGGTGTGGCAGCTAGAGAACTTGTACATTGCCATGCTATACACTAGCAACACACTAAGGGAACTGAAAGTTGACTTTAATGTATTATTATTTGCCGAATTCAACGGAAACTTCTAATTTTTAAAAAGAGAAAATTCGTGAGGCCTTTGAAGAGGGACGAGGGGATCAGGATGCAGAGGTCAGTCCGGCTCCTGGACCGGGTTTCTTGGTCAATCTTCTCCCACTGTACCAGTGAGGAAGAGCTGGCAGAATTTGCTGCTAGAGAGATCAGCTGTACTGAAAAGGCCAACAGTTCAGGAAAAAAAGGAATGTTTGAAGAAGTATGCAATGAATGACTTCCACAGTGAAAAACCAAACCATCTTCAAAAAGAAGTAACTTATTTCATAATTCCAGGAGGGAGAGAAGCTGTCAGCTTTAAATTCATTCACTCACAGTATAGGCCGGCCAGGCCTGGAGGCCAAAGTCAAGACATTTTAGCCAAGGGTCTGCAAGAGAAGGGTTGTCACCTCAGAAAGGAAAAGGTGGCCTGGCCTGGGCAGTGTGTGCCCTGGCCTACTCAGGAACTGCCGTATCTGGACTCCTCCACCCTTTTCTCCCAGCCTCAAACCCCACTACCCACCCACACCCAAGAGTTGCAGGACTAACCCTAAAGCAGGCGATGTACATGAACAAAACCACAGCATCATACAGGCATGCTTCCAATGTCATTCACTTCTGCACTTTTTAATTGATGTCTCCAGAGAGGTTCAAGCATAGAGGAGCTTATGCGTGCAGTGCAAATTTTTATACAGACACTTAAACATATCCATTTATGTTTAGTAGATTAGTTTGAGTATCTTTGAAAGTAGAACAGATATTAAAGTAATGACTTAAATAGACATTGTGAAGTGGAGGAATGCTCATGACCCAATACTGAGTCTTAAAAAAAAGCAAGCTGTAGAACAAAATTTATAGTATGAACCAAACTATTTATAAAGGTCTGTGACACCAACTACCTGTATGTCCTTGAACAGGTAATTTTGGCTATCTGGGCCATAGCTTTCTTGATTTTAAAATGATGAGATTGGAGTTTCATTGTTTCTAAGGAGTTTCCAGGATTAAAAGTCTCTGATTTCAAAGTTAAAGAATTTACTGATTCTATAAATATTTATTAAGTGTCTTATCATGTGCTAGACACTGACCTAGGCCCCGAGTATATATGGCAGTGAACAAAACAAAATCCTCTCCTAAAGCTCACATTCAAATGGGGTGGGGGAAGGGGAGGGGGAGTCAGGCATTAAAAAAAGTAAACAAGTTGGGGCCGGCCCGTGGCTTACTCGGGAGAGTGTGGTGCTGATAACACCAAGGCCACGGGTTCGGATCCCATATAGGGATGGCCGGTTAGCTCACTGGGTGAGCGTGGTGCTGACAACACCAAGTCAAGGGTTAAGATCTCCTTGCCAGTCATCTTTAAAAAAAAAAATAAAGTAAACAAGTAAACATACAGAACATAGGCTGGTGATAAGAACAATGGAGAAAAAGCAGGAGAGGGGAATTAGGAGTGTGGTAGGAGAGGTGGAGTTATATTGAATGATCAAGGGGATGTCACTGATAAGGTGACATTTGAGTAAAGACCTACAGGACATGAAGCATGATGTAGGTAAAGGGCGACCAAGAGTAAGGAACACAGAGCTACAGGGGATGAGGTCAGAGAGATATTGAGGAGCCACATTATGCAGCATCTTGTAGAACATTTCAAAGGCTTCAGCTTTTACTCTAAGTGCAAGGGGAAGCTATTATCTAGTTTTGAGCAAAGAAGTGACAAACATGGTACACATTTTAAAAGGTCACAATGGCTGCTGTGGGTAGGCTGTAGGATGGCAAGGGTGAGTGCAGGAAGACCAGTCA